CCTCCAGGTGGGACCCCCCCCCGCCAGGTGGGACCCCCCCCGCCAGGTGGGACCCCAGCCAGATGGGGGCTGCGGGCTGGGGAGGGCGGTGTGAAGCGGCTCAGCCTCGGGCTGCAGCTGAAGCGCCCTCCAGAAGGTCGGTTCCAGGACGAAAGAAGGGTCTTAAACGCAGTAACGGGCCCTGCTTCGCGAACGCGTTTCCTTCCTTCAGAGGAGGGGACTGTGTTCTGTTCCGAGCAGTGTTTGAAAGTGGAATCAGAGTTAAGTTTTTCGTTTCTGGATTCAACCTTCAACTTTGGTAAAGATGAAATTTGGTGCAGTTTCTCTCTTGGTGCCCTAACTTCCCTTCGCCGGTAAGCTTGGGTTGTTTCCTTTCAAGGGAATGGCTTCCAGATTCCCATTTCTGGCCCTGACTTTCCTCCGAGCTGTGGTTTCACCTCTTGGAGTCTTGGTGGTTCTTCTTGGGCGACTCCCGTTTAGTTCTCCCACGTCCCACTCCCACCGCCTCTGCGCTGGGCCAGGCTCTTCTGTCGTCTTACCCGCTCAGGAGCAGTGGATGCAAACCAGACTCGCCGCCCCCCGCCTGTCCCCTTGCGGTCACCCCACCTCCAGTTGCTTCTTAAAGCCAGAGGTCTTGTGCATTATTTGGCCACTCTTTCCTCAGAATGCTCAGTGACTGCTGGCTGTGGGGTAAATTCAGATTAGTAAGGGTGGCATTCGAAGCCCTTCAAAATTAGGAGCTGTCCATGGCTCCAGTAAGATCAGTAAGTCCTTTCTTTTTTGTTTTTGAGCTATTTTATCTCACATAGCCTAATTTTTAGCCACACTGGACTAGTCACTTTGGAATGTAATTTCTGATCATGCTGTCCGCCTGCCCGCCCGCCTTGGTCTTTGCTCACAGCCTTTCTTCCACAGGAAGGCCTTCCTCACCACCTTGCAGAAATTCTTATTCTTTAGTGCCTGTACGCCACCTCCTTGGGCGGCGTTCTGAAGTCTACCATTAGTTCAAGACATTCTTTTCCTCTTGTGTGTTGGGCTTTATAAATCTTATACTTGTAAAAATTTGCATTGTACTGTGGCTGTTTGAGAAATTTATCCCTATTCGAATGTAAGCCCTTTTTAAAAGAAGCGATTGTCTTTTAAATTTCTTCAGCACTTTAGTACCTGAGCACAGTATTAGAGATATATTAGGCTCAATAAATAATTGCTACATTACAATTAAATGAAGCAGGCAAGCTCTTGTAGTGCTTCTGGAGGCCAGGAGAACTCCGTGTTGCAGTGCAACCTGATTTCAGACTTTTGTTAATCACCTATTTGAAAGTGCTTTTCTAGTCTATGTTTTAGTACTTCATTTGATCCTAGTCATAAATTTTTGAGGTAATACGATTATTCTTACCCCTTTAGGGGAGGGAAAATAATTCTCTCTCTACTCTCTGAGTTACTAGCTGAGATTCCCTATAATAAAAGGCAGATTAGCAAGAGAAAAACAGAAGTTTGTAAACAAGTATACTTAAGATCAATATGAATTGGTAGCTTAATGATAGATTTCAACCCTTTAAAAAGCACGTATATCCTAAGTCTTCTGTCCCAGTTCTGGAGTCCAGAGACTCACATTAACATCTCGGGACTGACATCACAGTGTCCACGAGGCCTCGCTTCCTCTGGAGGCTCCAGGGGAGAATCCACTTCTCTGCTCTTCCAGCCTCGGGTGCTCCTGGCACTCACTCGTGGCTGTGTCACTGCCATCTTCAAGGCCAGCGTCCGCAACATCTCTGCTCCCTCTTCACAGTTCCCTCTCCGCTTGTGTATCTGTATTTTCCTCTTGTGTCTCTTACAGGGACACTTGTGTTGGCATTTAGAGCTCACTTGGCTCACTCATGATAATCTTCCCGTCTCAAGATCCTTAATTTCATCTGCAGAGTCCCCTTTTCCAAAAAAGGTAGCATTTGTAGGTTTCAGGGAATAAGACCTGATACTATGGACAATGCTGAAGCTTATGTATTTAATATCTGGTCGTCCACTAGGATATAGAGGTTGTACAGACACAGAGAATATAGGGCCCTGAGACCTTGTGAAGTTGTAAACTGTTTCCCTTTTATTTCAGCCACCACTGGATCAGACCCTGGATTTGGTTTTCAGGATTGTTGATTTTGCAGCTTCAAGGAGATGCTTGTCTTAGGGCAGTCACAGAAGGGTTCCAGTTCCTTACTTGGACCTGGGGCTGTCAATTTGGGCCCCAAGTTCATTTTTTTCTCTACCAAGTTTTCTGCCTGACTTAGAAGCAACCAGTGAACACCATTATATGCCCATTTCCAATGAAATGTGGCAGCGACTTGCTCAATCTCGATTTCAGGTGACAATTTAAGGGTTATTTCCCCTGGTGTGGTGAACTACCTGTGTCTCCTTTGCCACCGGTAGTAGGTCATTGCCGTCTTTATATCTCGTCGGATCAGAAAGCCAATTCCAGATTCCTGTCATTATGGTCCTGGAACCTCATTTGGTACCAGCTGTATCCGTCAGGGTTCAACAGAGAAACAGAACCCTTCACTTCATGGAATAAGGGCTTTATAACAGGAATAGGACCTTTTACAACTGTGGGAGAAGCCGGGGGTAAAGGTCAGAGAAGAGGGTGTTGAAGTGCAGCCTGGCTGTTGGAGAGCAGCCATCGGAGGCCAAGTCAGCAGCACTGCGATGACCATGGTGGGGCCAGGTGCGCCTGGGACCCTCGGGGATCCCTGTATGAAGCATATGCGTGTCCAGCCACTGCGCTGCACACCTGAAACTAATACAGAATAACACCGAAAGTCAACTGTAATTGAAAAATAAAATTTAAATTAAAAAGCAAAGAAGAGAGTGTTGAAGGGTTGCTGAGCAGTGACCAAGTGGCCCTCCCGAAAGACTCGTGCGGGTGGACAGGTCAGAGCTTCCAGAGAATCTAGGGAGCAGCGTGTCCTGCGGCCAGACAGCACCGCGCCCTCGAGCTGGTGGGGCGTCACGGGAAGCGCCCC